TGCTACTTCACAGATGTTGGTTACGTTTGGTGCTGCAACAAGGATTTGGGCTTGTGCAAGTGTGTACGTTCAGATCAGAAAGGTAGCGAGAGCTGCAAGAATCCTACTATCAAAGGTGCAGCCGCATGGAAAAAGATCACAGATTTTTACAAGCAAACCGGCCGCTGGCAGACAGAAGCGGAAGTCGACAATGGGGTGAATGCTGGAAAAGGTAGCAAGGATTACCCGAGTGGCAAGACTGACTACACCGGAAAGAACGACTACTCCGGTGGCAACAATAGCTATACCAAGAACCCCGGCAAGAGCGGTGACCAGTGGCAGCAGCAACAATGGATGGATCCTCAGTGGGCCTCAAGCAGCGGTGATGGATGGTGGCAGCCAGATCCCTGGGCACCTCAACAGCCAGCCGGGACCTCAGCAAGAATGGGGTAAAGGTTGGAAACAGAAGCAAGAAGTAGGACGAACCCTACTACAACCAGTGAATGCCCCTGTAAATTGTACAAAGTACTAGACAGCAGGAAGCAGTTTAAGAAGCAGGCATTTTGCCTAGACAGGAGTTTTTGTACAGAGAAGCTCACCACCAGTTTTGCAAGTTGTACCACGAAACTTTTGGAGCAGGTAATCTGCTACACGCTTTTGCAGGCACTTCGCTAAGCTCAGTAGCTAGAATTGTCACAGTAGCTTGAAGTTTCACCTGTACAAAGAAAGGACTAGGACAGGTTCAGGTGGCTGAAGTGCCAAGAAGCCAAAGGGAGCCAAAAGAAGAATGAAGATGGCCGTAACAAGAAAAGGAGAATAAGACCTGGTACGACCTTCCAGGCAATTGTCATGTACATAGCCTGTACAGAGAAGAGTTCTTCTGCAGGAGGGGTAGTGCAGTAGCAGGAAAGCCTTTTTCACTGCACCCTCAACTTGTGTAGAGTAGGAAGCAGAAGTTCCTTCCAGTGTTTGTGTAGTGAGAAGCCCGAAGCAACTTCTGAGGAGGGGTGTTAATCCTACACACGTTGGTGGCCGTAGCAAGAATGCTTTGACAAGCATGTTTGCAGCAGGAATGCTGGAGTGCCTCGAAGGCTTTGGGCTCAACCCCAGAGAAGGCAAAAGTGCACTTAGCTTTACTGTGAAGTGAGGCAGTTGTGAGCCATGTACTTTGCAGGGTTTTTTCAACAGTTTGGGGCAATTTTTTCGGGAGCGATTTTGAGGATGCTCTACGCGGGAGCGCGATTTTTGAAAATCTGGGCGCGTCGAATTCGCACGCCGGTCAGTCTATAGCGTTAAAACTACGAAGTTTCGAGGATGCTCCGCGCGAGAGCGAGATTTTTGAGTGCAAAAGGGGGCGTCCAAAATGTTTGCGTGACGCAAGAAGAGCCGGAGCGGTCGGCGGGCGACGCCACATTTAACAGCAAGAACAATAAATGTGGGGATTTTTTTTAGATATGGTCCCTTTTATAAATCAAGTGCTCGGATGTGCTCGGATTAGCCTGTCAGCCCAAGGCCCCGCTCAGCCAACGTATTGCAGAAGCTTCCACTTGCATCCTGCAGCTTTGACCTGCAAGCCAACCGTTCTTAAATTATTCAGGTTCTTAGCCCACTTGCGAAGTTCAGCCAGAGCCTCAACAGACGTGGTTGGAGCTGATTGCACTCGCAACCCTCACGCGGAGGGGGTTGTACTGGCAGGGCCACAGCCTCCCGCAGGGACAGGGCTGCTTTAAGACACTGACGGGGGGGCAACACGGACAGAGGGATAGGCTTGAAACCTTGCAGGCTCCAAGCCCCCTGAACAACTACATTTCAAGCAACGCAAGAAAAGAGAGAGGTGTGCTCTTTGCTGCTTGTTGTGGTAAGTCTTTGACAGGAGCAATACAGCCGCCCAGAACAACGGCATTTGTCCTTGTAGCCTGTCTGGAGGGGGGATGGACAGCATATTGTGGTACGCGAGACAGCATCAGCAATGCGGCAGATGCACCGTCCAGATTTCTTGAGGCTGCGTCTGGCTGGAGCCCCGAAGAGAAGCCAGCCTTACGCGTGACATGTGGGTGCTACCGGCTTTGATGTGGACGGGGAGAGGCAAAAGACAAGGAATCACCAGGATGGTGCATTCCTTTCTGGACAAGAAGTAAACGTTTGCGCTAATAGTGGATGTGTGAATTTAGTATTTGATTGAAACAAAATGTCGATACGAGCTGGTGAGTACCTAAAATGTTTGAGTGGTTTGATGAATTTAGTATTTGCTTTGTATGATTTTAATTCCATACACGGCAAACGCAACATTCTCCTCAACATACCCTCATGTCTTGGAAAGGGTTACCATTGCTGAGAGCAATGTTTTTATGGGATTGCTAAAAACTCTTCGACTTGTGAAAGTGCGCCCTGGCAGTTGTTGAAACATGATGATTGAGACATACGTGTCAGTCACGGCTGTCTTGCTGAAATGCAGTAGCGAACAAGCCGAGCTAAAGGCGCCATCCGAAGCATCTTCTCGAAAACAATGAAACCTTCATTGAAAAAAGGTAGAACCATGTTAATTTAATTCCAAAAAATTCCCCAATGTTAAACATTGTTAAGACCAAAAGAAACTCAGACTGACTAGACCTTGCGAAGGCAATTCCACGAGCTGCTTATGCAAAAACAGTCATACACTAATCCAAAACGCGAGCAAACATACCAACTTACAATGCAGAAAAGTTATGAATAGCTACGACCTTGGAAGAGGCAAACATCAACGGAACAGCAACAACGAAAATGATATATGCATGAACTAGGGTCCATCCAAAAACGAGGGAACAATTATGGATAAAAGAACATGGGCCGCACTGAAACAAAGCCGAATAAGACGGTCATCAGAAAAACTAGACCCATGAAAGGAAGGCGTAGCATCAAGCAACAAAAGGGAAAATAGGATACAATGATGTAAAGCAACCAACGAAGCAGACAATACAAAACTTGAGCTCACCCTGGACTCTACACTCCGATTTTGCCAATTCCTTGGAGGAAGGGGTTCGAGGAACATTATTATATTTTTCAAAATTTAAGACAATTTCTCCAAGAACATCACAAATTTTTCCTTGAGCACAGTGGGTTTTATGCTGTCGGAGCTGTTCGGAAAGTCCGGAAATTGGCCCCCAAACCTCCACCTCACCCCACCCCCACATCTTCCCCCCGTCCCTTTCCCAGAACCTCCGGCCTCAGACTTCCATAATGACCCAAACCCAACCTTCCAGCCCCACCCGCCCGCACAGAACCCCCCCCAGCCCCAAAGCTTCGAACCTCCAAGGCCCCCCAACTCAACTTGCGCAGTTTTCGAACACTGGTCGGGTCATGTTGGTAAACGGCATTGAGGGTCGAGGCCCTAGAGGAGTAGCTTTGCAAATCCCAGGATATATCTCTGACACGGCTTCGGGTTGAAGAAGAGGGTTCAAGATTGGAGGTAACCCCGTCACAAGGCCATACGATGATGATGGTAAAATGATGAGCACAGAAAGTGATGAAAGCCAAGATTTCCCTGAAGTCATAAAATGTGATGAATGAGGTATTGTTTCATATAAGTAAAGTAATGTTTCCTTTGAGCATACATTGTTGTAGGGAATTTGTAATCATAAAGGTATTGTTTTGAAGGTTTAGGTGGTAGTAAAAATCATCTGGCGTGTGACTCACGGTTGGACGGCGCCAGTCTTTGTTTTCTCGACTCATGTTGTTTTGCGTTGTTTTCTCCAATCGCATTGCTCTCCATGAGTCGTAACTTGCAGGTCGGGGACTTTCCATGTTGGCAGCAGTGATTTCATAAATATTGTTCCGGGGAATTGGCAGACTCCTCATCAATCACGCACATGTACCAAGCAATGGAGATAGGTTGCCTTCATTTTGTTTTGGCTGCATATTTGCAAGTTTGCAGGCTTTAGTGTGGCAACAGCAGCACTGCTGGTCGTAAATGGAAGATTTATTTGCGACGCGATGACGTCTTCACGTGCAATGGATTCTTCATGCTTCGCCAAACCCCCGGAGTCCTCAAGTGGGGTGCCTATCTTTCCGCTTGGGCTGCAATTTACACTTCAAAAAACTTAAGTAATGGCTGCCTACCTTAGCATGATGTCCGCCTCGCTGTGGACGCAGATTTTTGTCAAGGATTTCTGTATGCTTTTGCTGCGATAGCACTTTTGAAGCTTTCAGTGTGGCAGCATCGTTGAAGCAACGTGTTTGGATTTGCCTTCATGTGATCGTGAAACGAACGAATATGCTTGTGACGTCCAACATTGAGGTCTGCAACCATGGTGCGGAGCCTAGGATTCATTCGCTTTAGGAAGTGCTGTAGGACTGTAGGATCGGACTATCTTGGCGTAGTCAGAGTTAGGCTTTTGTGATTGTGCTGTCATTCACGTGTACAACTGCCTCGGAGGTTGCTTTGCCACTCGGGTTGTTTCATATGCCAGGCTCCTATTAAGCGCCCAGCGGGTTCCTTTACTGGTGGCGTGGCAACGCAGGCCTAGACAACGTGCAGCATCAGTGGCTTGTTTCTTCGGCAGCACTCCCGTCGTATTTACCATGGAACAATTTGGGGTATTGCACTATGCAAGGCCTCTGTAAGTTGCTGATATGTTAGTAATGGTTTTGTAACCAAGTTTCGCAAGAGCTGTAGCAAAGAACACTCACTCTCATGCATTTATAGTCGTCACAGCACTGGATGTATGATTTGTCCTTGGGACATGGAATGCCTTCATTTGAACGGTTCCATGCTTGTCAAACAGTTTTGTGTTGCGACATCTTCACACTGCCGCGTTTGACTGCTTCAAAAGTTGTTGACTTGTAACCGGTCAAAAGAGCCGCGTTTCCAGGTTCCTGGGGGCTCAGTCGTTGCCTTGGCCATGGGGGGTGCAAGCTCATTTGTGGCCATGCTTGCCATCACAGGCTTTCTGGGAGCGTCCTGGACAGCCTCCAAACTGTCCCAGGCTCTTGGCATTTCCGACATAGTCTTGGTCATCGCCACTGGCGTGCTCTTGGGGCCTGAGATGGGTGGTCTTATTAGTACAGAGTACTCTCAGTGCTCACACGCAAGGCGCCGAGGGCTGGAAGTAGGGTAGCACAGGAAGGGCGGGGGGAAATAGTCAGCACTCCATGTGTACGCGCACCTTGATGTTCTGGCCAGGCATGCCAAGGAGTGCGAATTGTCGGACGTGAACTCATTGACGGAGCACCTGAAAGCAATCCAGGAGCAGGGCTTATGTCACCGGGAGGATTATGTGTTCGCGGAGGATGGAAGCCATGCAGGTGAACATCGCCGCCTTGCTGGGGGCGGCGGCTATCACAGCTACGAGGAATGCCTTGAGAAGAGCTGCCATTCGGAGATCAACCATGTGTGCCAGTTGACCCCTGATGTGTTTACGCTCATTGGCCATGCGGGCGTAGCGCTCATGATCTTCGAGAGCGGCATGCATTTTGATTTTCAGAAGGCCAAGGCAGGAGTTTCCACAGAATTTTCCTAAGGTGACTTAGTAACTTAGTACGGAACCAGCTGTTCCACCTCCTGAGGTGGTGGGTCTCAAGGCTTGCATCGTGGCAGTTCTGGGCACCATCCTCCCCTTGATTGCAGGGACGCTCTTGACAATGTCTTATGGCAAGCCCTTCTTTCCACAAGGAGTTGCTGTGGGAACCGCGCTGGCACCAACCAGTGTAGGCATTGCACTACGACTCCTTGGGGAGGCAGGAGTTCTCAAGGAGAACTTTGGACAGGCCATCATCACAGCTGCCTTCGTGGATGACATTCTCTCGCTGATCTTATTCAACGTCCTTTTTTCCCTGGGAGGAGAGTTTGATCCTGTAGCAGTGGTGATCAAACCTGCTGCTGGTGTTCTTCTGATGTTTCTGGCGACGGCCTTGGCCATACGTTGTTGGCCGCGGTTCATCAATGGCTGGTTGCTGCCCAAATGCCCCGTCAAGGAAGGCGCAAAGGTCGCACGGACAGACGAAGTCTTGTTTTTTGTCATGTTTGCGCTGCTGATCGTCTACGCTGTAATCACGCACTTCCTTGGCACTCACTTGTGGGGCTGCTTTGTGGCAGGCATGTCCTTTGCCACTCTTGACCCACCGCACCATGCTCATCATGTTTGGGTACGGCAGACCAAGCGCATGACCTCTTGGATGATCCGGATCTTCTTTGCATGCACTGTGGCCTTCTCGATCCCGATCTCGCAGTTACTCTCTGTGGAGGCATTGTGGAAAGGCTCCATCATGGGTGTGGTGGCCTGCATTCTCACGAAAGTCTTGTGTGCACCCTTCATGGGAGAGGCTAGGTGGGTGATCGGCTGGGCGATGGTTGGGCGAGCTGAGTTTGCATACTTGATCGCTCAGATGGCTGCAGCTTCAAACATGTTGGATGAGGAGATGTTCTCTGTTGTCATTTGGGCTTTACTTTGGGCAACCATCTTTGCACCCTTCATCTTCCGCATTGTGCTGAACAGGTACGTCAAGAAGCATGGCCTAGATGACCTGCCCCCAAATCAGTCCTTCTTTCAGAGTGAGTCGCCAAGGAAACTGCGTGCACAAGCTGAACAGCAAGAGTCAGCACAGCAGCCCATTCCAGAATCAGAGCTTGAGGCTGAGAAGTCACTTGATCAGCTGGAGGCTCAGCTGGAGGCTGGCCTGGAGAAGCTCCAACATCCTATGACTACTTCTCAGCACAAATCTGACACGACACTTAGTGACAGGCAAACAAGTGCGTCCACCACAGACGGAGTAGCGAGCAGGACTGCGCTGTGAGTGCAGCTCTGCTAGCTGGGAAAAAAAGCTGTAGTTTCCTACAGTTCATCTGTCGGACCTCTCAACCTATGCTTGAGGCGCCCGCAGTTCCGGTGTTGCTTCCTTTGCTTAGTTTCTTGCGTATGCAAAGCATCATGCACGTTCTTTCAAGGAAGTCAGCTTGGTGGATGTTATTGTGCAATTGGCACAAGAGCACACGTGCCGAGCGCTTCTTTACTTTTAAGCGCTTTCGTTCCAACACGTAGAGCTCTTTCCGGCAGCGTTACTGGCCTACTGCCTTCATCTGTGCTTTCACCACAGGTGCCATAAGAAGCTTAGAGCGGTTTGCTATCCAAGTGTGTTGGTGGTCCGGAAAAAGCTAGACAATCTTTGAGATCCATCGTCTCCAGTGCATCCACGGGTCGAGGGAGGAATGCTGAGGATGCGTTGTGGCATAGGTTCCCCTCCTGCAGATGCAAAGTCGTGCCAAACAGCAAGGTTGTTCGCAAGAGGCAGCCCGTCGATGCACCAGACACAGGCTACTCTGACACTGGTGCGATCTTCGTGACCCCGGGGTTGACATAAAATGACGTGTCAGATGCACCTGGAAATGTGAGTATGTGAGTAAGCGGATGCGCTCCACTGCTACCCCGGCAGACCCAAATTGCCTTGATGCAGGAAGCTCACAGGAGCTCAGTCTTCATCGTTGCCGTTCTCAGCCGTTCCAAGTGAGGCCAAGCGGGATCCGTATCTTTAGCATTAGCACTTAGCAGGCTGCTGTCCATCCATGAAGCGAGGTGCATGGCTGAATATTGCATGTTGCCATGTTGCCAAAGGCGGCTTCTCAACATATGTAGGGCCCTGAAATTCCCTGACAATACAGTGGGTATCAAGGGTTCTACTGGGGTAGTTTTGCCACACTTCGAAATGGTCAGGCATGGACAGAGTAAGTGGGCTGGGGATACTCGCCCCCCTGAGAGTCAATTTGCACCCAAGGCAGCAAGAGCAACATAGAAAATGGCAGTCAGCAAGATCATACTAAGCTGCAGAAGACAAGCGAAGACAAGCAGTGTACCAAGCAGTTGCACGAGTAAGCTGGACCGGAGTCATCTAGACACGTGAGGCCGTCTCTGACGGAGTCACTTGGACACCAGCGAAGTGAAGACATTGCTGAGATTGCTGACGGTGCAAAGTAAAAGGCCGAAGGCCTTGGCCAATTTTGCCCAAGCCCGCTGAATTTATAGGATTCTGTCTTCGAAGATGGCGGCTCGCCTTGATGTGGTCGTGCTGGGTGCACAGGCTTCACTGGAAAGCTAGCATGCGAGTACCTTGCAACCTACGAAGACAAGGTGCCTGCATTTAGAAAATGAAAAGGACCTGTATGCTGCGCCGTTTTAAGGGCCACTTGCCAAAACCCCAGAATCCATAATTGACCGTGCAGGACCTGGTCGTGGCCCCATGCAGTAAAGCTGCTTGTAGTCTGCAGATAGCATCCTGTATGAGCTACTGTGATTATTAGGCTTGCCAAGGGACCATTAAGGGTGGACATTGGAGCCCCATTGTTTGTTTAGTGCAGTCCCTAATGCATTCCCTAGTAGGAACCCATGGATTATAGAGTTATAGAGGAAATATTGACCTAGCTTATATTGCTACATTTTTTTTGGTACCGGCTGTGGGAGCCTGTTGGGCTCCTGGGACCTTTTTTTTTTTTTTTTTTT